TTTCAGGACAAGAGTATCAATTTGAGTCGTCAGCAAATAGAACCATTTTAGATTTCATGAAGATTGTTATTGTAGATAAGAAACAATACAGGAGCGAAGATAGAACTTTGTGGTGTCGGTAAAGCTATTTGAAATAAAGAAAAGGGTAGGTCTTCAAGAATAACTTTACAAAAATAACTTTACTAATGCAGTTAGAAAGAAATAATTTAATAACCTCAAAACCATTATATAAAGAAACTAATGACTTAGTAAAGACTTGTAGGTAGTAAGAGAGTATCGTAGGTAGTAAGAGAGGTCAAAGTGTTTTCTAGAGTTTTGAAAAATTGGAAACACTTTAAAAAATTTGGAAAAATATAGCACCCAAAAAAACTTGGCAAAATTTGAAGAGAGTTCTGGAAAATGTTTTTAAAAGTATGATGCAAATCTATTCTGGACTAAATGAAGAGAAGTAATAAAAGCTTCCAAACCTTAATTCCAGAAGGAATATAAGCTTTCAAGATGCACTTTATGCATATATGTTGTGGATATAAACAAATATGTTTATATAGTGTTTATATAGTATAGTCGTTTCCAAAAGAGATGATGATCAGATGGATGCGTGGTGTGACTCTTGCAAGACAAGAAAAGGAGGCATAATCTTAGATAGATTAGAAAAAACATTGGTTATAAAAGAATAAAATAATTTAGGTATCTGCATGTAGAGAGGCAGCTGCTTCAATAGAAAATAGTAGTGGTAGAAAAAAACTTGAAGAGAATGCCTTACCTATTGAATGAATGAGCTTTAGTTAATAAAAAAAAAATGCTCTAGATTGTTTATATTAGAGAAACAGCATAAAAGAGGAAGGCTAAAGCCTGATGATGATTATTAATAATAATGATGATATTGATGATGATTATCATCATGATCATAATGATCATCATTATTTTAGGAGTTTTATTACACCATTGTGTTGACTTTCCCCAGATGAAAAGGTTAATGGCATAACTCCGAGAAGATGGGACTCACTATCGATAGTTGCCAGAACAGCAAGTCTATCATGATTTAATTTTTTTCTATTATTAATTTCATAAAGTGTCTTTCCGTAAAATATATAATGCATGGGAGAAGCTTGGATGCTAAAATCAACATCTTCTTTAGCAATGATTGCCATTTCATGAGATGTTTGTTGCATCTTTCTAAAAGCTGTTGACCTTCTGCAATTTACATTTGTAAGATCAACCCCAAAACTATCAAGGATTGCAGTAGTAATTTTTGTCAAAACGTTAGGAGATATATCAGTAATTGTGGCAATTAGAGCAACGTTACCAGAAATAATATCTTTTGGGATCTCAGCTTTTATTTGACTACTTGACTCTATAAAACTCTAATATCCTGGGTCAAAATCCAAATCAAGAGATAAATCATTGCTGGTGTCCATACTAAATTCCAAATCTGAACTTACTTCTACTGATTTAGCAGCATTTTTTATAGATGGATTTCTCTTTCTTGTATTCTCCAAAATCTAAACAAAATGCATTATAAAATAAAAATTAATGAACCCAAAATAAAAACCAATAAAAAATTTATTAAAAAGCATTTACTGATTTAAAGCGTTGTGTTGTAAAATATCTATTCCAGCCGGCACACTATGTGTTGCTCAAATAGTAAATGAGGAAATAGGCTTATAAATAAAGAGAAATTCGACATATTGAACTGATTTTTTTACAAGACATCAGGTTTTTGTTTCTGTTCATCCGGACTTTAGACTAATCTGGAAACTACATTAATCCAGATAATTCTTTTAAAAATCGAAAGCGTGGATATTTAGAATTTTGCGAATTATATTAGAAACACGATTAATAATAAACAATGTCGTGGAATATAACAAATTGACTATGATCTGATTCTTTGCTCTTTGGTTATTTAAAAGTTACTCAACAATCTATTCTAATAGATGTTTTTAATTACTTGTGGCTATTAAAATAGCCGTATTTTATAACTCATTATAGAACAGCACATCAGTTCTTCATTTAGTTCATGCTTCTTCCTTTATACTTTCTAGAATAGTTAATCACTTGTTAAAATTTCTTAAACTTGTTTTTAAAAACTAAACAAAAAAACTTAACTTAGGATTGTTATTTAAAAAAAAAATTAAAAGATTGCCTAACTAACCAGAAAATAAATAAATTAAAACTAATAAAAACTGTTACCAATATTACTAATAAAGTTATTTATTTTAAACAATTATCAGAACAACTGCCACTTTGCTTTCTTAAACAATTTTGCTGTTACTCATTTTTTATTCATTTTGTTTTGTTTTTTTTGCAATAGAGGTATATATCAGATGTCATAAACAAATAATTAGCTGTATCTCTAGTGTTTTCTGCAGAAGAGGTTAGACGAACTTGACCAATTTGTGCAGTTTTGTTTTCCTTATTTCTGGCTTCAATAGCACTTTCAGACAAAGAACCTTTTGGATACTTAAAATACATTATAAAAGAAATACCATGAAGTATCATTCTATGCACAGATTGTGACATAAGTATAGTTTTGAAAATTGTATCATTAGTTATGAGCGCAAATAGATGCTCAGATTTCTGTTTAAAAGTCTTTATATCTGGTCTTGTCATTGGGCTATTCATATCAATGAGCAAATTTCGAAACAACTTAATCATTCTGATATCTAAATTTAAAATTCTCCCAGACACTATCGGATTATTAAAAAATTTGCAAGCAACATTTCTAGTATTGGTTGTGCCACTTCCTTTTCTGACAAAAGAAACCCTTATTTTCAATTGTATCTTGAATAAATGTTGGAATTTTTTTTTTGTTTTCAATAAATTCTATACTCTTTTGTGATGGAATATTTCTTCCTTGTTTTACTGCTGGGAGTTTTCAAGCAGTATTAAAAACCCACTCCATGTAGCATATCCATAAATGAAGACTGCAAATTCCAAGTTTCAAAACTTGCTTCCCTAAATTTTTATTTTATTTTTTTAAATAATTTTTAAATTAAACTCCTTAGAATTTGACAAACATGGCAGGGCTGAGATGAAATTCTTTTCTTAAGCATATTAAATACATATTTAATAAGCATATTTTCTTAAGCATTGTTTTGCCATCATTCATTGTGGTGTAAATAGTTGACAAACTAGACTTTACTACCAAAATATTTTCATCTAGTTTAAATTCAATATTAGTTAATAAATAAATTTCATTTTTTAAATGTTCAAATTTTTCCTGAATAAAATCAGCAGTCTCTTTTGCAAAAGAAAAAAGATGACGGGTGGCATTACTGCAGTTTCATTATATTCAATATGTTCTGGATATGTCAATTTTTTGTATTATTTCAACTTAGTTAAACTTGGAGGTTTAACTATTTTGAAACAATATAATTCAAACATGACGATTATGAGTCACTATACTTTTAAATTTAGTTTTTTATTTTCTATCTGTAAGTTTTTTATTTTATTTTCTATCTGTAAGTTTTAAATTACAAAGAACTTGCAATGATAAATTTTAACCATATAAATTAGTCCAATCATTAGTATAAAGATTAGATTTAAATCTTTTGGCATGTTCTTCTACTTCTCGTTCTCTAAGACTATCTGTTCTTTTACGCTTCATCCATCGCTTCATCAGACTATCTGTTCTTTTACGCTTCAACCATCGCTTCATTCAATCATCATCCTTTGTAAGCTTTATAAAAAACTGTCTAGGTTTTAGTGTGCAAGATATATTTATTGCTGGTGATCTAGATGCTCTCCAGGGTACACTATAAATAAAAAAATACATTGAAACATAGATACAACACTTACTAAACTGTCAAAATGACAGTTTTGTAAAATAATGTATAAAAAATTTTGTGTATATATATATATATATATATATATATATATATATATATATATATATATATGTAATATCCATAACTTATTTAATAATAACAAATTAATATAGAACATATTATACTCACAAGAGATATTTGCATTGTTAATTTTGAACTAAAAAATTTTTGTATTAAATTAAATGCTAGACTTTTAAAAACTTTAAAATTCACTGTGCAACCAGCGTAAAGAGATAAAACCTTGTAATGCAAAAAAATGGCACATGCAGAAATATTTTTACTTGTAAAAATATGCCTAGGAGGAAAATCATCAGCCAAAAGTTTGCTAAGATTGAAAGTAACAATATTAAAACAATTTTCAAACCACGCCTAAAAAAATCTTCAAACTTAGTAGTTTTAACTCTGAAGTTAAGACTAAGAACAAATGTACCATCCACAATCCAGTAATGTTTTTCATACTTGACAAAAACAGTAATTTAATATTTTGGTTTTCAATAAAATTCACATTTGAATTAATTTTATAACATGTTACTACAGAGGTAACAGTAAATTTTTTTATTTAAAACTCAATTTGTTTCAGAAAATTTATATAAAATAAAAAACTGGCTACTTCTATAGTAACATGGTCAAATCAATCAGACTTTAAGGACACACAAAAGCAATGAACCACACATTTTTTTCTTTTCTTTGTTTTTAATTTACAAAATGTATTATTTATTAAATAATATGCAAAAATAGTTAAGAAATTTAAAAATTATCATGTAATAAAATGATTTAGTGAAACCTGTTGTTTTTTTTACCCATGAAAATCCCCCACTTAAAAAAAACAAATTTTTCTAAACTTTTTTTTTTTTAATTTTTATTTGTTTAAATTTTTGTATTTTTATATTCAATTTTGAGACAAATAAAACTTTTTTTTCATTTAGATTTGACTGTCTATATTTTCAATTAAAAAATATTTACAAAATCTTTTAAAACTTTTTCTTTTACTTGTTATTTAAAATATTAAAAAGTCTTCATATTTAACCATGATAATGACCTGTAATCTTTTACAATTGATTATAATGATTATGATGATGATGACGATGATGATGATGATGATGATGATGATGATGATGACGATAATGATGGTGATGATGATGATGATGATGATGATGAATTATTTTTATTTAGATACATCAGAGGTGTGCACAGCACTGAAAAAATATTATCGTGAAAATTATAGAAAAATAAATGAAATTCAACCACCATTAAAAGTACCTGCAAGTGTTGATCTAATGAATAACTTTGTTGATCTATGTATCGTTGATGCAGTTAATACTCAAATGGATGTTGTTTTTAATTTTGAACGAAAAAAATTTCTTGAAAAGCAAATGAACTATACACCTATTTCATATAGTGAAATTTTTATGAAAGAAAAATCTGTAATATTAATATCTGGAATAGCTGGTATAGGAAAAACATGGTTGCTTCGAAAATGTTTGCTTGATTGGTCAAACAATTTAATTTGGAAAAATGTTGAACTTGTATTTTATTTGGAATGCAGAAAGCTTAATCAATATCAAAATATTTCTAATATTAATGAATTACTAAATAATTTCTACAAAGATATTATAAATGATTTTGATATTAGTACTCATTCTACGCTGTTTATAATTGATGGATTAGATGAGTTTAAATATTTACATGAACTAATAAATTGCAGTTTAAGTTGTTACTATCCAATTGTTAATGTTTTAACAGAAATTCAAAAATATAAATATGTAGTTGCTGGTAGAGTTCATGCAATTGATCAGTATCAAAGTATATCTACAGAGGATTGTGATAAGATAAACATTCAAATTATGGGATTTAATGAAGATGGAATAAATAATTATATAGAAAATAATGTTTTAGAGGAAAAAAAAGATGTTGTGAAAGCAAATTTGAAGGAATCTGCAATTGCAAAATCAATGTCATCTGTTCCATTTTATTTATCTTTTATGTGTAAGATTATTAGTATTTCAAAAAATTTATACAAAAATACTTTTTTAACAATGACAGACTTGTATGCAAATATTTTTTTACACTTTTTGAAAAAACACATTATCAAAAATAATGAATCGATTTCTCAATTCATGGAAAACAATTTCAATAAAAAATATGTTTTAAACATTTGTAAAATTGCGTATCAATTGTTTGTTGAAAATAAAGTAATTTTTTCCAAAGAAGACATTCAAACTTTCATCATTGACTTTGATAAAAATGAAGAAACTTTTTTTGGATTTATTGAAAGGATTGAAACAAGTCTAGGTGAATATATTTATCAATTTGCACATTTGACAATAATGGAGTTTTGTGCATCTATATATGCATATAATTGTTTAAGTAGTGAAGAGATTTTGACTAATAAAAAGCTGAAGAGTTGTTTATCAATGATTTGTGGTTTAACCAATAAAAATCAAAATAGTTCCTTAAAGTTTCTTGTTAACCTGAATCCTTTAAAAAAACCTTGTGACGATTCTTTATTTTTGTTTTCTATTTTTGGTAAGTCTATAATACTTTATTGCATTATCGTAAATCATTTTATATAAAATCTATTTATCAAAAGTGCAAGTTTATTAAAATCAAAAGTTTATAAACATTAAAGTTTTTTAAATCTGTTTTTATCGTTCCTTCTTTAAAGGATAGACTCTATTTTTTTGTATTTAGTATGTTTGACAATATTTGGCAATATTTTAAGAGAAAATCAAAATAAATAATATTTATTTAAATTGAGTTAAAATAAATAAAAGATTAATGATTGTTATAAAGTAATCATGTTTTTTTTTTAAATAAATGCCAGTTTAATCAAGAATTCATAACTTAAAAATTAAAATATTTCACAACTTAAAAATTAAAATAGTTACATTTATGTGCTAAAAACTTAATGATGCATTTAAATTATGCATTTTTTTAACTTTAAATAAGTGTCCAAACCAAATTTTATTTATTAAACATTTCTTAAGTAATTAAATTTTTTGACTTTTTAATATCGAGTCAGACCATCTTTAGCGTTTAAGACTTCTGCTAGTCAATTTTGCATTGTTTCAACTAATTTCTTTGTTGTATCTGGACTTTGAGTCGGCTAATCAAGTATAAAAAACACTTTTACTTTCTTTAACGTATGCTTAGTGTTGTTGTCTTGTCTATGCAAATTCAAACATTTTTTTACTTTTTTATCAGATTACTGATGGTTCCTTATGCTGTTTCAGTTGCCTTTTTTTCATCAACCTAAATGTTTTACCTTGTCATTTAAAACAGTGATTAAATTTACGTTCAGAACATAACATTTATCAAAATCTTTTTTTCATCTTCTAAGAAATTAAAGTTTATCTTCATAATAAAATTTTCTGTTAGGATATTTGTTTCTTTTAAATATTTGGTCAAGTAAAACTGACACTTTTTATATCTTGAATTAAAAAAGAATGGAACAAGCTACAAAGTTGATTTTTTTTTTAATTAAATGCTTATTAAGTCTAGAACAAAAATATATATATAGAAAAAAAAATTTCAGTACAATAATTTTTTAAATTTTTATAATCGATTTGAAAGGCTAATTAGGAAATTTTACTTGAGCATGCAAAATTGTATCACGCACTTGTTGCTGTTTTGTTTCCATTTTAAATAGTAATATAAAAAAATACAAATATATTTTCTTAGTATGGAGTATAAAGGAAAGCATGAATGAAGCGTTTTTATATTTTATGAATAAAACATTGCTTTTCATCATAACATGCAACAGTTTTAAGTTAATTAATTTATTATTTCTAATGATTGCTTAATTAAACACATTTAATTTATATAATAAAAGTGTATTATACATATTGTTTTTATTTATGTTATAGAATTTTTTTTATTATAAATTTAAATCTTTGAACATTAAAAATAAACATAAAACTAAATTAAATTTTCTTCAAAAATTTAATTTAGTTTTATAAACAATGTTGACTTTAAACAACAATTGTGTCTTTAAAAATCAATAAATTTTATGTTTTAGGCAATTGTCTCAGTAACTGATTTTTTATAAATCTTACAGTTTTTTCTACAAATATTGCTTCTCGCTAAAATGCTTTTTTAGGGTAGTTATGCTGAGTGCGCTGTCTGCAAACTTAATGAAGCTAATGATCTTGTTATCATCTCTGTAGCACTTAACATGGTTGGCAATGTCATATGACAAATCATTGATTTGAAATATATAGAGTTGTGTAGTAGAGTGCCAAGCCTTGTGGTACTCCAAATGACTTGCTTAAAAAAGATTAAAAAAGTGACATGATTTGACTTGCTTCTAAGCCTAATGGCTACAATCAAGTGAAGTATCTGCTTTTATTTGAGTTCTTACATCATTTTGATTGGTTATGATCTGCTGTAATATGGTATTTTGACTTCATTTCAATTAGTCACATCTAAAGACTGTGAAAAAATGACTTCATTGAGCCTAAACTTTGATTTTATGTCATGTTAACAAAAGAAAATTTGTATTTAGTGAGAAAATACAAAAAAAGTTTAATTTTTTCATTTGTTTTGTCTGATAATAAACAACAATTACATATTAAATAGATAAATACAGTAAAAAATCATTTGAAATAAGCATCAGAAATAAATAGATTTCCTAGATTTGGTAGTTTACTAACCCCTCTGGAGGCTTTAGAAACTCAACTTTAAAAAAGGATAATAAGTTTCTCAAAGTAGCCACCAAATGCATTTTTGATAATATACTTGGTATACTGTCCTTGATAATGACATCTGACCCTAACCCTAGCCCTAACTCTAATATATTTTGCTAAAAAGTCTTTCTATGATCATTTTCTATGATCTTCTTGATTTATGGTTTAACGAAGTTAAAAAAAGATTGTATTTTAAATTGTATTTACCTATATTTATGATTATCACATATACCTTTACTCTTTTAGGGCATCATTTTCTATGATCTTCTTGATTTGTGGTTCAACGAAGTTGCTAGCTCTGTAGTTTAGCCTCATCCTCTGAAAAAGTTTTTGATGAAACCTTAATTGCAGTGGTAGTTATTTTTTCTTGGATTTTATCAGCTGCTCCCACTAAACCTTGCTCTGTTTCTCAAAGAACTCAGTCACATAACCAGCTTTTTCTGTGGCAGTGTCCTTGCTGTACTAGAGACAAAGGAAATTGAAAAACTAAACAATAAGCTTGAAGGGCCAGTAGAATGATACCAATTTTAAATCTTTAATGACCTCTGTAGTTGTTATACATCAAGACAATAACTTCTTGAGATTACTTTTATCCTCCTTGAGATGCACAGAATGAACCATCAGAATGGAAGTTGTTTGCATTGTAAAGCAACATGACTTTGAGTTTCTGGGATAAACTGTTTTCCACAGAGTTTATCTTGCTTTTATGATCTTTTTTATCTTTTTTATCTTTTTTGTGGTTTGGCTAAGATATTAGCTCTAACCTCACACAAGTTCTGGAAAAGATTTTTAGGAATATGTGTATTGATTTTCAGTATTTGTAGTGTTTTCTGGAGTTTTATCTGCAGCTTCCACATTGCTCTTTCCCACAGAGAACTCACTTTGTTGTAACCAGTTCTTACTTTGGTAGTGTGCCTTTGTGTCACTATTGTCCCAGAGGCTAAAGATATTAAAAATTTGTTTGAGAGCCTTGAAGGTGTAATAGAATAATACCAATTTCATATTTTTGATGAAATTATACATCAAGATACTCATCAACATCTCGGTACTAGGCTACCAATTCTGTTGGCTCCTTCTATGCACAGAAGGAGCCAACAGAATTGGTAGCCAGCTGTTTTCATTCTGAAGCAACATGGCTTTGAGTCTCCAAAATAAACTGTCTATAAATAGGTGCTATTTACTTGGCATGTGATTCCATTAGCTTTAAAAAAATCAACCACAACATTACAGAAGCATTGGGTTTTCTGACTGAGCAAGTTGTAAAATTTTTGATTTGTTTTCTATGAGTTGTGACTTATTTTTATTTAACAAATTCCTCTGCCTAATCCGTGATATTAGTTCAGCTATGACTTTGTAAACTCTTGGTCACTCATTAAATCATTGTCTTTCTGACTAGGCAATTAGGCTTCTACTGAAAAACTTCACCTGTTAAACTATAACTTGTACCTCCAATATCCCCTTTGCTATTAGACTTGCTGTTTTCTATTGAAAATGCCTGATCCTTTTCAGGGGGAGAAAAACAGGCAGCTCAAAGCTGTATAGTCCTAGGGTATCAGATGAAGGAGTATCTGAATAAACGATTGAGACACATTTTTTTTCAAAGTAGAGGTTGTTTGAATGGTTCATTGATTGTCACCAAATTTTAAGGGTTTCAAACGTCATGACTATACCACCCGTAACATTGCATTTATAGTTATATAAATTTGAAATAATCACTACAATATTTTTTATAGTGCACCAATATATATGAAAACTTTGTCACTTATATATCTAAATCAAAGAAATTTGACAAAATAAAGCACATCTAAACAAGAAGCAGTTTTTCATCTTGTTTTCAAGAGTTCTCTTGCATTATTATGTAAAATGTATTGCCCAGTATTGATCTTATTCCATACCGACATGCTGAAGCCCACCTTGCAAGCCTTACACATTATGAATTGTTTTTACAAAATACTTTTTTGATCATGATTTTATAATGCAAACAACTTTTATTTAATTTTATTCAACTTTGATAAATTTCTATTCAAATTTATTTCTTTATTCACTGATAAAATGAACTAGAATGTTGGTAAGAGTCATTTAATTACTGTTCAAATAATGTTTTGTTATAAAACCAACACTGTTTTTGTTTATATTAATTTTTTGAAGTTCCCTTTAATTTGCAAACGTTAACAAAAACAAAATAACAATACATGCATAAATTTGCAACTTTTTAATATATATATAATTCAGTATTTTTTGTATATAAACATATTTATATCAACACTGTTTTTATAAAATTTAATAATAAACCACTAAAGTAATAAATGTATATAAATGCGTTAAATGTGGTGATAAGATACATAAAAAAAAATAGGATAAAGAAAATTATTTATAAAGGATTTTATTTTTTGTTCATAAATACTAAAAATGGCAATCCTTTATATAGAGTGCTGTATATTGAATCTGTATAAAGAATTTGTATAGTCTCTTTATTAATTTTAATTTTTTATTTATTTTTTTGTTTAATTAAGTATTTTTTTTTTTTTTTTTATAATATTAGTGGCCAGCCACAGAATCAAATTTAGATTATAGATTATATATGTAAAATATAGTTTTTAAATGTACTTTTAAGTTTCAGAGTCTGCAGTTAGGAATCAAATCAAAATTCAAATTATTAAAATATCCTACCCTGCAATTTTTTTATAAAGACAAGAAATTTATTTTTTGTTATTTACAATTCAACACCTAGTGGCTGATCTTTATCATCAAAAACTGCTTTCAGAAGGATTTCAGTTTTGATTTTAAAAAGAAAAAAAAGAACAAAAAGAAGAACAATTAAAATCAAATCAATCATCTTTA